GGAATGGGACCTCACATTCTATGCTTGACCCGATTGGCTAAAAACTTGTAAATTTCCTGAATAGATAGGGAGAAAGAAGATGAGAAAGAAGAGGAAGCTAGACAGGAGACAGTCAGGAGGGTTTCCAAATAAGAAATGGCATGCACCAGGGTTTGGAGCTTGCCCAGTTCTGTTCAGACATGCTGGAGCAAGTCAAGGTAGCTGATTTAAGATGTAGCTGATTTAGAGAATATATATACATGGGTGTATGTTTATGCTAATAGTGGATAATGGCCATAGAGCAAGAGATTGTAACTCCTTATAATGTAGTCTAAGATATAAAGTTTGAAGAGCTTTTCTATGTCTCACACTCAGGGAGACTGGTCTGAGTAATAATAAAACTCTAGTCTCCCACGCAGCAAGATCTGCCTAAATTTCTCTTTCCTTATTGCAATTTCCTTGTCTCGTTACTTGGCTCTCTCTGGGCAGTAGGCAAGGTGAATCTGTTGGGTTGTTACTAAACCAGCATGAGAGATAGCAGGCCCTTAAAGAAATCAAAGTATTTTACTACAAAACATATTCCTTTGACATATGGCCATTTTGAAATGGCCCTGTACAACTGTCCCTTCTGGGGAATATCTACATTCTATAGAGAATTTCCTTCTCTTTCCAGATCTTTTTCCTGATCCAGGAGAGAATTTACTAAGAGTCTGGAACCTTTTTTTTTTTTTTTTTTTGCAATGGAGTCTTGCTCTGTCACCAGGCTGGAGTGCAGTGGTGTGATCTCAGGTCACTGCAACCTCTGCCTCCCGGGTTCAAGTGATTCTCCTGCCTCAGCCTCCTGAGTAGCTGGGACTATAAGTGCACGCCATTATGCCCAGCTAACTTTTGTGTTTTTAGTAGAGACAGGATTTTCACCATGTTGGCCAGATGGTCTGGTGGTCCACAGGCCTCTGCCTCCCAAAGTGCCCCTTTTTAAGTCTGGTAAGAAACATTTACAATTTATTATCTTTGAAGCCTGCTACCTGGAGATTTCATCTGCATAATAAGAACCTTGGTCTCCACAACTCCTTCCTTATCTATCCCAGACACTCCCATCTATTGATTCCAAGTCTTCAGATAAACTCTTTTAACCAATTGTCAATCAGAAAATCTTTGAATCCACCTACGACCTGGAAGCCCCACTCCCCCGACCACATCCCTATCCACCTCCCCACACCCTCGACTTCAGGTTGTCCTACTTTTCTGGACTGAATCACTGTACATCTTACATGTATTGACTGGAGTCTTATGTCCACTTAAAATATATAAAACCAAGCTGTAGCCTGACTACCTTTGGCACATGTTCTTAGGACCTCCTGAGGTTGTGTCACAGGCATGTCCTGACCTTGACAAAATATACTTCTAAAATGATTGAGACCTATCTCAGATACTTTTTGGTTTACAAGTAAAACCCCAACTTGGATTGGCACCAGGTGTGCTCCTGGTGATCTTTTGGCTAGAGAACACTGATAGTGGGATGGTCCTAAATTGGCGGGCCACCTTGAGATGGTAATGCAGGGTTCCATAAGCCTTTTCATTCCTTGTTTCCACAGTTTCCGGGCTCCACATTGGTCAAAAATCTGTGAGGGACAGCGTCAAATGTAGATGCCTATACCAAAGTACAGATAGATTATCCATTTATTAATTGATGGTCACTTAGGTTGGTTTCACATCTTTGCAATTGTGAATGGTGCACCTATAAACATATGTAGGCAATGGCTTTTTTATATAATGACTTCTTTTCCTTTGAGTAGGTACCCAGTAGCAGGATTGCTGGGTTTAATGGCAGATTTACTTTTCGCTCTTTGAGGATTCTCCATACTGTTTTCCACAGAGGTTGTATTAATTTTCATTTCCACTGGCAGTGTATAAGCGTTCCCTTTTCCACATATCAATGCCAACATCTATTGTTTTTTGACTTTTTAATTATGGCCAATCTTATAGAAGTAAAGTGGTACTCTGTGGTTTTCATTTGCATTTCCCTGATAATTAGTGATGCTGAGAATTTTTCATATGATTATTAGCCATTTGTATATCTTCTTTTGAGAAATGTCTACTCATGTCATTTGTTCACTTTTTGATGAGATTTTTTGTTTTTTGTTCTCAATGATTTGTTTGAATTCCTTGTAGATTCTGTATATTAGTCCATTGTCAGATGTGTAGTTCACAAATATTTTATCCCATTCTGTGAGTTGTTTTCTATGCTGATTGTTTCTTTTGCTGTGCAGAAGCTTTTTAGTTTAATTAGGCTCCATTTACTTATTTTTGTTTATTTTTTTAAATTGCTTTTGGAGTCTTAGTCACAAATTCTTTGCCTAGGCCTATGTCTATAAGAGTTTTTTCAATGTTGTCTTCTAGAATTTTCGTAGTTTTATATTTAAGTCTTTTATCCATCCTGAGTAGATTTTTCTACAAGGTGAGAGATAGAGATCCGGTTTCATTCTTCTACACATGGCTTGCCAGTTTTTCCAGAACAATTTGTTGAATAGGGTGTCCATTCTCCAATTTATGATTTTTTAAAATTTATCCTACTGCACACTATTTAAGTAGAACAATTTATGTTTTTGCATGCTTTGTTGAAGATCAGTTGGCTGTAAGTATTCAGCTTTATTTCTGGGTTCTCTATTCTATTCCATTGGTCTTTGTGCCTACTTTGTACCATGCTGTTTTGGTAACTATAGCCTTGTAGCATAATTTGAAGTCTAATAATGTGATGCCTCCAGATTTGTTCTGTTTGCTTGGGATTGCTTTAAAGTCTCCACTTATAGATATGGCAAAACATGTTATTCTTTAGAGCAATTGACAAAACAGTTTGGAAAGTCTTTTGCCAATTATGTTTGGAAAATTTCTATGTATATTAAAAAACTAAACATAAATTTCATTTTATGTTAACTCCATATATTTGGTTCATTTAATCCATCTCGTTTACTTACTCTGTCCCTCACCAGTGTTGGCTGACTTGCCTACACTGTAGAGATGGCCCCTCCCAGAGAGCAGGCTGTTCCAGACAGCCTGGACCTCATTCCTGTATAGGCTTCCCAGACTTTCTCCCACCCACTCTCTGTCATGCCCTCTCCAGGACTCTGTGGATGCAGCTGTCCAAATCAGTATCTCTGAATCATGCTGTGAGCTCAGAGGAGCCTGTTGCATAGCAACAGAGGCTCAGAGCCAAATATAGCCCTTGAAAGAAAAAAAGGTTTCAGATAATGTTGGTGCTATTAGGAAAGTGGAAAAAGATAATTATGCCTTCAAAACATCCTCAAAAGCAGCCCACCTTCTCTCCCTGCCAAGGACAACTCCTTCCCCATGGACCCAGCCTACATTTCTAGTCCTGTGTGCCAAGCACTCTGTGCTCTGACCTAACTGCACCGTTGGCTGATCCCTCCATTTTCCAATCACCCCAGGGTCTCATTAACATGAACGGGATTATATTTGCACTGAGCTTATTTACTGCACACACAAGATGTCAGTTTACCTTCAGGACCACTCTTTAAGGGAGCGGTGTCAATCCCCTTTTTTGAGTTGAAGGAATTCTGTGTTCAGTATGGCGAGAAACAAGTCTGCCTTTCCTTTGAAAAGGCAGCTTGCAGCCATTCATGAGGAGAGTAGAGAGTTGGGAATCAGCAGGCCTGTGTTCTAGCTCCAGCTCATGAAAGCATGTACAAGTGCTCTAACATCTCAGGCCAGCATCTCACTTAGCCACAGTTGATGGTCCAGGTCCTCATGTACGACTGTATGGTTCCTGCTTTAAGAGGCCCCTGCTGCCCTCCTAGCTGTCTCTCCTGCCCTCCTCTTAGCTGGAAGAGGCTATTCTTTTTCCTATTAGTGGGGTCTGGAAAGTTGCTCTGATCACCTGTGTCCTCCAAAAAATTCAATCCTCTTCCATGACTCCCATCCTCATGCCACCGCTCCACCTTCTGAGAATAACACTAATGGTGTCCTTACTCACAGTGTCGGAAACCGGTTTACGAGGCACACAAACATGGCAGGGTCATACCCTGACAAGAAATTCAGATGCCTCTGAGGAGGAGAAATGTAATACTGTTATTAGACATCACATGTGGGCCGGGCGCGGTGGCTCAAGCCTGTAATCCCAGCACTTTGGGAGGCCGAGGCGGGTGGATCACGAGGTCAAGAGATGGAGACCATCCTGGTCAACATGGTGAAACCCCGTCTCTACTAAAAATGCAAAAAATTAGCTGGGCATGGTGGTGCGTGCCTGTAATCCCAGCTACTCAGGAGGCTGAGGCAGGAGAATTGCCTGAACCCAGAAGGCGGAGGTTGCGGTGAGCCGAGATCGCGCCATTGCACTCCAGCATTCCAGCCTGGGTAACAAGAGCGAAACTCCGCTAAAAAAAAAAAAAAAAAAAAAAAAAAAAAAAGATAAAAAAAAAAATTAAAAAAAAGACATCACATGTGACTGGGTATCGTGGCTTAAGCCTGTAATCCCAGAAATTTGGGAGGCAGAGACAAGAAGAGCACATGAGCCCAAGAATTAAAGAACAGCCTGGGCAATATAGTGAGCCCTTGTCTCTTCTTCGAGAAAATAGTTTCTTTAAAAAGAATTTAAAAACAGATTTCATGTACATGCCAGACTAACCTGACTTAGCGCCATGGCTTTCACTCCTTTCTTACATCAGGATCCCCTCCTCTCAGGGCTTCCCTAACAGCTGACCCCTCCCTAGCATTCCCCTCCCCCGCACCCCATTCCTGCACAGAAGACACACACCAACACCATCAGAGCCACAAATGGAGCACAAATCTTAGTCCACAGGGAATAATTAAGGGAGTGAGAGAAGTAGAGGCAGCCTCAGGAGCGCACACTAGGGCTTCCATCTCTAGCTGATGGCATCTTGTGAAGAATAGAGCATCATCAGTCACTTGCCATCTCATCATCTCATTCATGACGTTTGGGCTCAGGGATAAAAATCAAAATCCTATTTCCAGATAATAAGCTATTTTGTGTCCCCTCATTTTACCTTCAGGTTTAACATCATAGAAGTATGCCACATTTTCATGTTGAGCTCTTGTAACAGGAGACACCATCGAGGAACAAGAGCTGTGAATCTCTAAGTTAACGATCATCTGAGAGAGCTCTTCTAACAGGCAGGTCTAAGGAAATGAACGATCAAAGTGGCAGTAAAGGAAAAAGATGGTCATACCTGGTACTGGTAGAATGAAGGGGAAATAGGCTTTCACATAACACTTCAGGTGTCAAATGGAATATGCACTTTCTGAGGCCCGCATTACTATGGCTTAATCACTTGAATGGACTTTGATATAGAAGTCTTATTTCCAACAACAAGTGAATTTCTGCTAAAAGTTTTTTTTTTTTTTTTTTTTCTCTTTTTTTTCTTTCTTTCTTTTTATTTTTTGAGACGAGGTCTTGCTGTTGCCTAGGCCAGACATGGAACTCCTGGGCCCAATGAGATTACAGGCAAACCCTGATTGTTTTTAATAAATTTTGAGCACTCTTCATATTTTCTAAATACAAATCCTTTTTTAGATATGTGAGTTATAAATCTTTTCTCTCATTTTGTAGCTTGTCTTAACAATCCCTTTGTCAGGGCAAAAATTTTAAATTTCAATGAAGTAGGGAGCACTACACACTGGGGTCTGTTGGGGGGAAATGGGGGAGGGGCGGGGGGTGGGGAGGTGGGAAGAGATAGCATGGGGAGAAATGACAGATACAGGTGAGGGGACGGAAGGCAGCAAAGCACACTGCCATGTGTGTACCTATGCAACAATCTTGCATGTTCATCACATGTACCCCAAAACCTGCTAAAAGTTTTTTAAAGGCTCTCCAAGTTAATTCTGATATGCATGCAAGTGAAGGGGTCCTACCTGAGGGGTCAGGTTACAAGCCACATTAGTTTCCTGATCCAGAGAGGAAGGGCAACTAATATTGATGAAGTACATTGTTTAGAGGGTCCAGCCCCACATTCTTCACTTTAGTGGTTGAATTTAATCCTCATGACAACCCTACTAGCGAGGTATGATTATGCTCTCTTCATGGATGTATATGACTACAACGTACTTGCTGCTAATCACAGAGCTGGATGGCAAAGAATTTGCTCACCACACAAACTGATGGAGCCAGGGATAGAATCTAGCAGCTTGGGCAATGGTACAAAAATGGTCAGGATTCATAATATCTAAACATCCCCAAAGTCACCTTATTAGAGAAATCTCAGAAACACTATTTTCAGGGGGGAAAAGGTGCAAAGGGGCACTTACTCTAAGATAGCACAAATACTTACAGCCAAAAATGTGCAATTACATACTTTGCATAATTCTCTCACAACAAGTCTGTGAGGAAGGCATCATTATTTCCAGTTTACAGATGACCAATTCAGATTCACTGATGGCAAATCAATTTTGCAGAAGCATCTAGTAATGATCAGGAGTGGGGTTGCAACTCTTACTCTCCTCAAAGGACAACACATGATCTGCTTTTATAGATGATGACCATCTAGGACTTAAACACTTGTAGTTTTTTATGTTGCTAGGATTGTGCCCTTATGGGTACTCATTCAACAACCTCTCTCTCTTTGAAGAAGCTGATAGTGCAGATGAAATCCCAGCACAAGGTCATGTAAGTGGTAATGGGTCTGGTATAAGGGTCAAGGGCTTATGACTCCTGCCACCTCTTCATCTGCACTCTCTTCATTTGAGACTCAATAGGACACTGCTTTTCCAATATCAATCTAGAAGATCAAAGAAGGGGACAGAAGTGACAAATCTTCTCATCTCACCCCAATACATCAGGAAACCATCCGGCAACACAGAAATGGCCCCAAAGGTTCATGTATGATGTAAGTGTGAGCATGTGCTCCATCTTCCTGCTCCACTGCCAGGTGGTCTCTGTGGCAGTTGTGCTGCTTGGTTTAGATAACAGTCATCACTTCTCTGGGAGGGTGGAGAAAAGTGGACCTGGATGACCATTTATTGAAATCCTACTAGATGCCATCTACTCTGTGTGGGATTTCTCATTTATTCCCACAGAACAGTTTTCTAAGGAAGGCATCATGAGTTCCCTTTTACCGATAAGCAAGGGCAGGCTGACAGATGCTGAAAAAGCATTCCAGTGTCACACATCAAATAAAGGGCAGGGATGGGGTTCCAGCTTTTGCTTTCATAACAGTATTTTATGCATTCCCAAGAGGGGTGATATTACCAGTAAGGGGCTGAAAATAGACTTTTGAAGATAAAGGGACGATAGACTTCAGAATGATTTTTGGTACTACAAAGGTCCATAGTATATAAGGAGTTAACATTTCATCTGTGGTATTAAAATTTCATGATCTGGGCAGAAAGTAGTTGATAAGAAAAACATGTCTAAAAATCCTTCTAAGGGAGATGATATTGCAAGAAGATTGAGAAATGTTTTACATACTGAGTGACCTCTCCTATAGATGATTAACCACCAAGACTTAGGGACAAGTCATTTTATACACCTGCATAGATGCTAATCTGATAATCCTGTTGTTGATCATGATAATGGTGGGGGAAGTGAAATCATCACCCTAGGACCAGCAGACCTTGGTGTGAGGACTGTGAACTGACTGGTTTTTAAGGTGGCAACAAATAGGGAGGGATTCAGTCAGAGCAACAGGTATTTTCTCTGGGATAGGTGATGTGAAGGATGGAAAATTAATGTTAACAAAACTAATGTAAGCAAATGGTACTCCAAATTGTAACTACTTTAATCTTAACCTTTATTTCAGCAATCTAATATTAAATCATAGGTTTTTTCCTTTGTTTTTTTGAGATAGTCTCGTCTGTCACTCAGGCCAGAGTGCAGTGGTCCAATCTTGGCCCACTACAATCTCCGCCTCCCAGGTTCAAGCAATTCTCCTGTCTCAACCTCCTGAGTAGCTGGGATTACAGGCATGTGCCACCAAGCCCGGTGAATTTTTTGTATTTTTAGTAGAGACAGAGTTTCACCATGTTGGCCAGGCTAGTCTTGAACTCCTGACCTCAAGTGATCCTCCCACCTCAGCCTCCCAAAGTACTGGGATTACAGGAGTGAGTCATTGTGCCTGGTCCGTAGTTTATTTCAGAGTATAGAAATTCGCAGAGGTTAAGTAAATCAAGGAAAACCCTTTGAATGGCTGATCAGTATCGAAACCCCAAATTGCTCTAAAGCTTTTACTATGGCATCCTGAAGCCACTCGGGCCCTGGTTGCCTTAAACTTTTTTGCACTGATATTTGAAGCTTCCTAGGCCATTACTTTTTTTATTATTTTTATTTTTTGAGACAAAGTCTTGCTCTGTCACCAAGCTGGAGTGCAGTGGCGTGATCTCGGCTCACTGCAATCTCCAACTCCCTAGTTCAAGCGATTCTCCTGCCTCAGCCTTCCGAGTAGCTGGGATTACAGGTATGCACCACACCTGGCTAATTTTTGTATTTTTAGTAGAGACGGAGTTTAACCATGTTGGCCAGGATGGTCTCTATCTCCTGACCTCATGATATGCCTGCCTTGGCATCTCAAAGTGCTGGGATTACAGGCGTGAGCCACTACACCCGGACTGTTTGTTGTTTTTAATAGTGACCTGTAGTAGTAGTTTTAAATTATAATGCTGAAAAATTTCAAAACATTATAAGTGGCATATTTCTTTTTTTTTTTTTTTTTTTTTTTTTTCGAGATGGAGTTTCGCTCTTGTTACCCAGGCTGGAGTGCAATGGCACGATCTCGGCTCACAGCAACCTCCACCTCCTGGGTTCAAGCAATTCTCCTGCCTCAGCCTCCTGAGTAGCTGGGATTACAGGCACGTGCCACCATGCCCAGCTAATGTTTTGTATTTCTGGTAGAGACGGGGTTTCACCATGTTGACCAGGATGGTCTCGATCTCTTGACCTCGTGATCCACCCGCCTCGGCCTCCCAAAGTGCTGGGATTACAGGCTTGAGCCACCGCGCCCGGCATAAGTGGCATATTTCTTATTCTTGTCGCTTCCATTTGAGACTCTGGGGACCATAGGGAGGCATTGGCTGCCACAACAGAATTCAACAGGTTTCCACAGGCTGGAAAATGTTGGAAACACATAGCCCTGTATGTACTACAACTCCAGTAGACTACCCTTCTACAGTGCTGAAATAGAGCAGGCCCTGAAATATTGTCATTTTGTTCAACGTTGTTTTATTATAACACTGAAGAGGGAAAAAATGGATTTTGGGCCAGGACTGATATCTGTTTGAAGTTTGCACATTCTTCCCATGTCTGCCTGGGTTTTCTCTAGGTACTCCTGTTTCCTCTCACATCACAAAGATCTGCACATTGGGTGAACTGGCATGTCTAAATGGTCCCAGTGTGAGTGTGTGTGTGTGCGTGTGTGTGTGTTTGTGTTCCTGTGATGCAATGATATCCTGTCCAAGACTGGTTCCTTCCTTACACCCTGAGCTTTGAAGATAGGCTCCAGCAACCAGCGACACTGAAACAGAATAATTGGGTAGATAATTATCTTACTTATTCTTAGTAATCTTTCTTAAATGCAGGTGTATTAGTCAGTTCTCATGCTGCTATAAAGAAATACCTGAAATTGGGTAATTTATAAAGAAAAGAGGTTTCATTGGCTCACAGTTCTGCAGGCTATACAGGAAGCATGATGGCATCTGCTTCTGGGTGGGGGGGGCTTCAGAAGGCTTTACACGTGGTGGAAGGTGAAGCAGGAGCAGTCTTGCATGGCAGGAGCAGGACCAACCGGAGGGGAGGAGGTGCCGCACGCTTAAATGACCAGATCTTCGGAGAATTTAATCACTATTACTAGAAAAGCACCAAGGGGAAAATTCACCTCCATGATCCAATAACATCCCACTAGTCTCCACCTTCAACACTGAGGATTACAGATGGACATGAGATTTGGGCAAGGACATGGATCCACACCATATCAGTAGGTATAGCTCACATTTATTTGTGTTTAATATTAAAAGTGTTTTGGTCTTTATTTAAACATTTGGTGATTTTTTTATTGTACTTTAGGATCTGGGGTACATGTGCAGATCAAGCAAGATTGTTGCATAGGTACACACATGGCAATGGGGTTTGCTGCCTCCATCCCCCCATTGACCTCCCCACCCCCAGCTGTCCCTCCCTTGGCCCCCTACTACAAACCCCAGTGTGTGATGCTTCCCTCCCTGTGTCCATGTGTTCTCATTGTTCAATACCCACCTGTGAGTGAGAACATGCAGTATTTGATTTTCTGTTCTTGTGTCAGTTTGCTGAGAATGATGGTTTCCAGATTCATTCATGTTCCTACAAAGGACATGAAGTCATCGTTTTTTATGGTTGCATAGTATTCCAAAGTGCATATTTGCCACATTTTCTTTGTCCAGTGTATCATCGATGAGCATTTGGATTGGTTCCAGGTCTTTGCAATTGTAAACAGTGCTGCTATGAACATACATGTGCATGTGTCTTTATAATAGAATGATTTATAATCCTTTGGATATATACCCAGCAATGGGATTGCTGGGTCAAATGGAATTTCTATTTCTAGGTCCTTGAGGAACCACCACACTGTCTTCCACAATGGTTGAACTAATTTACACTCTCACCAACAGTGTAAAAGTGTTCCTATTTCTCTACATCCTCTCCAGCATCTGTTGTCTCCAGATTTTTTAATGATTGCCATTCTAACTGGTGTGAGATGTATCTCAATGTGGTTTTGATTTGCATTTCTCTAATAATCAGTAATGATGAACATTGTTTCATATGTTTGTTGGCCTCATATATGTCTTCTTTTGAAAAGTATCTGTTCATATTCTTCTCCCACTTTTGGATGGGTTTGTTTGTTTGTTTGTTTTTCTTGTAAATCTGTTTTAGTTATTTGTAGATTCTGGATATTAGCCCTTTGTCAGATGGGTAGATTGCAAACATTTTTTCCCATTCTGATGGTTGCCAGTTCGCTCTAATGATT